GCTCGCCGGCACGCCCGTGGTGTTGAGCCCGGGGCCGCTCGCCCGCACCTTGCTGGCGTCGTGCGTGGGCAGCGCCTTCACCTTGAAAGGGCTTTGGGGGAAGCAAATCAGGAGGTCAGGGAACCCCAAAATCCCTCCGGAGCGCCCCTAAAACCCCTCCCGGGACGCACCTCCGGGGCACCTCGTGGTCGCCGTAGCGCACGGAGATGCTGTAGGGACCCTCGCGGGACGGCACGTAGGACACGCGCTGAGTGCCGTCGCCGTTGTCGGCGATGTCCACGGGCTCCAGCACGCCTGGAAAAGGGGGATTGGGGTTTTTTGGGGGTTTTTTGGGGGGGTTTCAAGAGGTTGGGGAAGGTTGGAATGGTGGGGGTGGGTTGAAGTGGTGGAAAGGTGGTGTAGGATGAGGGGAAGTGTTGAAATGTTGGTGTGGGGTGGCTCCAAAATCCCATAAAGTGCCACAAAATCCCATAAAGTGCACCAAAATCCCATAAAGTGCCACAAAATCCCATAAAGTGCCACAAAATCCCATAAAGTGCCACAAAATCCCATGAAGTGCATCAAAATCCCATAAAGTGCCCCAAAATCCCATAAAGTGCATCAAAATCCCATAAAGTGCCCCAAAATCCTACAGGGCAGCCCCAAAATCCCACAGGGTGCTCCAGAATCCCACAGAGAAGCCCCAAAATCCCACAGGATGCTCTGAAATCCCACTGAGCAGCCCCAAAACCCCATAGGATGCTCTGAAATCCCACTGGGCGTCTCAAAATGCCTCAAAATCCCACTGGATGTTCCAGAATCCCACAGAGAAGTCCCAAAATCCCACAGGATGCTCTGAAATCCCACAGAGAAGCCCCAAAATCCCACAGGATGTCCCAAGAGCTGCTATTGAGCGCCCCAAAACCTCTCCAGAACCCCTTAAAATCCCATTAAAAACCTCCAAACCCTCTCCAAAGCCCACCCAGATCCCCCAAATCGCAGGAAATCCCCCCCTGCTGACCCTTGGGACCCTGGACTTTGACGTCCAGCGGGGCCACGCCGGCCTTGGAGGTGTCCACGGTGAAGCTCTGGGGGACGTTGGCCCGGACGTGGCCGGGGGTCAGGCCCGGCCCCCCGCAGGACACGCGGGAAGCGTCCACCACGTCCGACACCGGCACCTGGAACGGGCTCCCTGGGAACGGCGGGAGCGGGATTAGGGGGAGAAACGGGACTGGGGGGGGGAAATGGGAATTGGGGGGGCTAAAGTGGGAATTGG